CTCACAAGGCAGCATTTGGCATATGAATGAAAGCACCATTATTGCACGACTTAACACTTTTAAAGCCTTTTTCCATTTTTATAAGACATTCGTGTATATTTATTAGGGGGGGGGTTTAAGCATATGCACTTACATACAGTAACACTGATCATTTCCACAGATTTATAGTCTATTTTAATCATGATGATAACGCTTTATAAGAAATTCGTGCTTTATTTATAGGCGGGGCTAAATACGCAAAGTGTACGCTTACTCGATCCCTTTTTCCGTTTACCCAAACTTTCGTCCACGAAGCAGTAGCTTTTACGTCATTTCCGAATTTCGACGCATGCGTACCGTGGTTTTCTAGGGACATGGTTAATATGCTCATTTGGTCTCTGACCGGCAAACTGATAGCACAGAACAAGAGTGTTGATTTGTTTAAAACATCTAACATATAATAACTGAAAATGACATCTCAAGTTAAATGCGAAAATTTAAATGGGACCAGCAAAGGTATTTAATTTGATTGTTTCATTTATCAATGTTACTTTTTTCTGTGATTTTATAATTAATTTGCAATCATGTTAGGCAGACGCTTATAAAAGTTAATAGCACGTTGATTGGGAATTTCAGAGTTATTTTTAGCTTTACGCTCTAATAATTTTCTATCATAACACAAGGACGTGATTCCTTTTCTTGCATTTGAAAAAGTCAGCATTTTCAAATACATTTCTTATCAAGGTCAAGATAGTTCAACCTATGTTATTATCTAATACTTTTCGTTGGAAAATTTTATATAGATACTGTATTTCATTTATCTTTGTGCCTAATAATTGTGTTGCGTTGTATTTTTCCATTACCCAATTTTTAAATGAATTTAATTGTGGATCTTTTTTTTTTTAAACAATATAAATCAGAAACAAAGTCTGCATTGTACTGATAATTGATATTTTAATTACTGTATACTGTATTAATTATTTGATTTGATTGACTTAATTGACTGACTGACTGATTGATTGATTGGTTGATAAATAATATAGTAAAGGTTCTCAGCATTTCATTGTCAGGCATAATTTTATGAAGTTTTCATAAAAATAAGTCTATTATCCATACTTCGAGTAAAATAAAACAATTTTATCTCCTATTAAATATTTAAACCAAAATTACTTAAGGTGGATTTTTACCAAACTTCACAGGACAGATCAGTTATATAAATGTTTCCAGCCAGATGCAGAAGTAGGCCACAAGAGCTAAAAATTAACCAGCAAAATGAAATTTTCAGAAACTACAATGCCCAGAGCACAGATATTATTCACATAGCATCACCTTTGTTATATAAATCATTCTTCTGGGTTAAAAATGGCCACACAATGTTGGTCACTTAATTTTTTAAGCTCAACTTCTTTTCAAAGAAAAAAAAATAAAGGTATTTTATTTATATTTGGATACCTTGCTACCAAACAAACATATTGAATAATTTAGATATGACCTTGACCTTTAATTGACCAAGAGGTACTTGTGTGACTTGGAGAACAATGGGTAACAGTAAATTCTCTTTGATCCTATTCATTCCGTTTTTACTTGTGTGTCTTTTTTTAAGCCTTGTGTGACTAAAAATGGCCAAAAGGATCAAAGGAAAAGTCACACAAGTACCATTTTGTGAGTATGTCCGTCGGTCCGTTAGCAATTCGGTTTCCGGAGCATAACTTAAGTTCCATTTGGCCCACAATGTTCAAACTTCATAGGATGATTGTCCATATTGAGTAGAAGACCCCTATTGATTTTGGGGTCAAAAGGTCAAAGGTCATGGTCACTATAACCTTAAAACTGAAAACAGTTTCCGGAGCATAACTTAAGTTCCATTTGGCCCAAAAATATTCAAACTTCATAGGATTATTGTACATATTGGGTAGAAGACCCCTATTGATTTTGGGGTCAAAGGTCAAGGTCACTAGTACCTTAAAATTGAAAACAGTTTCCGGAGCATAACTTAAGTTCCATTTGACCCACAATATTCAAACTTCATAGAATGATTGTCAATATTAGGTAGGAGACCCCTATTGATTTTGGGGTCACAAGGTCAAGATCACTATTACCTTAATACTGAAAACAGTTTCCGAAGCATAACTTAAGTTCCATTTGGCCCACAATATTCAAACTTCATAGGATGATTGTCCATATTGGGTAGAAGACCCCTATTGATTTTGGGGTCACAAGGTCAAAGTCACTTTTACCTTAATACTGAAAACAGTTTCTAGAGCATAACTTAAGTTCCATTTGGCCCACAATATTCAAAATTCATAGTATGATTGTGTATATTGGATAGAAGACCCTATTGATTTTTGGGTCACAAGGTCAAAGGTCAAGGTCACTATTACCTTAAAATTGAAAACAGTTTCCGGAGCATAACTAAAGTTCCATTTGGCCCACTATATTCAAATTTCCTAGGATGATTGTCCATATTAGGTAGAAGACCCCTATTGATTTTGGGGTCACAAGGGCAAAGGTTAAGGTCATTATTAAGTATTAATCAACCAACAGCTGTAAAATTTTATAGGATGAACAGCTAATTCCCATGTCTTATAAATGCTTCATCCATACTAAAAAAAACACGTTCGAGCATATAATGGTGCTCTTTTTTATAAATGGATTAACTCATATTTAGGCACAATATTTTTATACCCCGCACAACAAAGTTGTAAGGGAGGTATATACTGAAATCAGTTTATCTGTCCGTACGTCCGTTGGTTTTTCCTTATCCGCCCAATAGCTTCAGACTCCTTTGACTCACAGTCTTCATATTTGGCATGGAGGTTAGTCATGACTAGTAGATGACCCCTATTTATTTTGAGATCACTGGGTCAAAGGTCAAAGTCACAGGGGCCTTGACTAAAAAAAAGCTTGTCCGCTCAATAACTTAAGATTCCTTTGATCCACAGTCTTCATATTTGGCATGGAGGCTAGTCTTGATTGGCTAGTCTGCTCAAATGCTTAAGAATGCCTGCAGTGTATTGATTTTGACATTTTCACATATGAAGCATGTAGAATACATAACTTAGCAATGCACTGGCTTAGTAACCTCAGATTTGGCAGGGAGGTTGTCCTTGAGCTCTAAATGGCCACTGTTGATTCTGACAAAGTGGTATGCGGGGTATTCACGCCATGACAGTAACAGTTCTAGTTAAGGTCATGACCTTCATGTATATCAAACTCAATTGACCTTGACTCATGTATTACCTTGTAAGTCAAATTATTGAATTTCACTGATTATAGTTATAATTAGCTGTAACTTGGTAATTAATCAATGGATTATCTTTATACGTGGACAAAACCTTTTGGAATTTGGACAAGACCTTTGAAAAGGTTGAACTGACCCTGACCTTGAGCATTAAATTACCTTGGCCATCGAGGTCAAATATTGAATTTGGTAAAAGTTGTCATAATTTTGTTATGTATGTACGGATTTGATTCATACATGGACAAAACAACTGTTGTGACCAAAAGGACATGTTGAATAATTTAGATATGACTTTGACATTTACCTGTAAATGACCTTGACCATCAATGTCAGATGATTGAATTTCTTATATTTTCTTAACTTTGTCATTCATTTATGGAAATGATTCATCCTTGGACAAAACAACAAGTGTGACTAGACAGACCTATTAAAATAAAAAAAGGAAAAACTTAATATTTTATCTTCAATATTCTTTTTAAAGATTTGTTTAAACCGTTTATCTGTTGCGTTTTTAAAAAGTACTCTGGTCAACGTTTATTTTTGATCTGATACATACAGTGCTAAATTTCTTGTTCCATTTTGAACCCACACAGGTGACATAAAGATGGAAATTCTATCAACAATGAAGGAGAGAATTATGATATTTGATGGGGGAATGGGAACCATGATCCAGCAGCACAGATTTGAGGAAGAAGATTTCAGAGGAGAAGAGTTTAAAGATCATCCTAAAAGTCTGAAAGGAAACAATGATTTGTTGTCCCTGACCAAACCTGATGTGATCTATGAGATTCATAAGGTATGTAGACTGTACATCTTAAACTTGTTCTTTTCATATCATATCTTGTGGTCATTTATGTAGATATGTTTTAATAGCCTTTAACCCTTATAAGCTTTGTTTTTTTTCTTTTAATGCACATTTCAAACATGGTATAGTGCAGATGATTGAAGTGGAAGTGTGCATTTCAAATTGAAATTGTGCATTGCCATGATAACAGCTGTGATAAACGAAAAAAAGATTTTTTTTTTTGCAAAAGCCTGCACTTCCTTACTGCCTGATCAGACTCTTTCAAATTCAAATTTTTCCCAAAATTGATCATGGAAATAGGACAGTTCCATTAATCAAGCTGAATGAAAAAATCTTGAAAAAGGGTGATCCCTCAGAACCATTGATCACAATTACAAAATCAAAATTACACGAGAATCACATACTTGGTTTGGTGAGTCTTAGTAAGGAATAATGAAAGATAAAGAGGAATGAAAAGACTAAGTCTGTTTAAAAAAATGCGCAGGTCAAGAGCTAACGTTTGATTTTGATTTAGTTTCTCCCTGATAATTGAAATGATTTTGATTGGTTATTGAGGATACAAATGTTATTTCAGAGTTACCTGGATGCTGGAGCAGATTTTATAGAGACCAATACATTTAGTGGAACAACAATAGCACAAGCTGACTATGGGATGGAACATATTGTAAGTATTGTCCTTATTATCTTCAGTGGCATATGGTAACAATATTATTGTAGTCATAATGATTTATTTAGATGATAAAATACAGGCCTGGTGTATACACTACACAGTGATTTAAGGATCAAAATTTAAAACTAAAAAATACTCCAATGTTTAATATTCAATGATAATTTTCATAAGACTTGAAACACTGCTTATATGAAATTTTAGAAAATCTTTTATTCTAAATTTTGATACTGTTACTATTGTAATTCGGATGTTTTTTCCTCTCTAAGTAAGGTTTAAGAAAATTTTGCCTAAAATCTTAAATGATGGTAAGTTTCATACTTAAAAACAATGAAAATATAAAAATTTGATTTTTTGATTTCTAGATCGGTTTTTTTTGTTCAGGGACACTGGGACCCAAAAAACTTTTTAAATTTTGCATTTTTATTTTTTCAGAGCTACATTTTTTTAAAATCCTGCATTGGAGATGTAGGTATTAATAACTTAAACAATTATAATTCAAAGTACTTTAAAGATATTTTTATTAAAAAAACAAGCAATTTTTTTTTTAACTTTGTATACACTTTTAAACAGGGTTTTTCAAATTGGGAATTTCGAGGCCGGGTCAGGCAAAAGATTAGGCATGTAAAGCTGCATTTAGATGTTATATCAAATGCTAACCCCAGCGGGTGGAAAAGATATCTTTCAGGGGCCCAATGGGGCCCCAACTAACAGAACCTTGTCTATCTCCCCTTCAGTTAAACAGCCAGATTTTCCAGGAAACATAAGTTTAAGGGTCATATTTTATAATTTTGAGGGAATATTTATTTTTTTAAATTTTTTCCCTGTTTGGGGGGCTTTTTTAAATGCAATTTGGTTTTTTAAGCTTTTTTTTTTTAAGAACTTTTTTTCTTGGGTTTTAAAAAACTAAAAAAGGTTTTTTTTTTAATTTAAAATTTTAAAAACAAAAGGGTTTTTAGGAAACCCCTTAAATTTATTTAAAAAAGTTTTTTTTTTTTTAGGGGGTTTAAAATTACAGCTATTAACACCCGCAGACGGGTTTTGAGTTTTTAAATTTTAAATTTTTTCAACATTTTTATTTTAAAAGTTTTCTTTTATTTTTTGGTCTCCCCGAAAACTTTTTAACAAAGACCCCAAATTTTTTTTTACAATATTCAAAAAAAAAAATATGAAAAACAAAAAAGTTTTTTTTTTTTTTTTTTTTTTTTTAAAGCTATTTTCATGACTGATTATCAATCTTTTAGTATTTGGGAGTAACCATTTGGAATAAAAACCTATTTAAAATACATAGTTTTGTAACAAATTTGGCATTAAAAATAGTTTTTATTTTCTCAGCTCTTCTTTTAAATCCAGGTTTTCCTAAAAGAAAACATTGGTTGTTACATAGATAAATATTAGCAGGCTGAGTGGTGGCTAAAGTTCATTAGCAATTTCTTTTGTGTGCAACTTCTACATATGTTAATTTGATCATTACAACCCAACATTTATTAAAATGTTTATCATCAAGTGCTCAAGGGCATATTGTCCGTATTTATTTTAAGTTTTGAATGCTAACTTATTTTAAGTAGATTGTTGGTGTTGGAAGCCAATATGCTTTTTTTTTGCTTTAAGGGGCTATATAACAGTTCAAGAGAATATAAAAGGAACAATAAAGGTTTCATTCCGTGAATTTTCAAAGGGTTTTTATGGGCTAGTTTAGCCCTTTTAAGGGGAACAAAAGAACACGGGGAAAAAAAAAGAAAAACAAGGAGGAAAAAAATTAGCCCCTAAAACCCAAAAATGTTGGTCTAAACGTTCCGTTTCCTGTCCGATGCAAACATTTTTTTGGGTTTTTAGGGGCTAATTATAACAGTCCAAGAGAATTAAAAGAGAAGAACAATAGGTTTTCATTCCGTTGATCAAAGAAGTTTAATGGGCTTAGTTAAGCCCTTTTTAAGAAAAAAAGAAAATTAAACAAAGAAAAGGAGGAAAAATAGCCCCTAAAAAAAAAAAAAAACCGCCCCCCCCAAAATGTTTTGGAACGTCCCGTTTACGTTTCCTGAAATCTTTCTTGTTTTGAAACCCAACTTCCTTCGTTAAAAACCGGATTGGGCAGATTTTTGCTTTTTAAACTTTCCAGGGGATTTGAAACAACCCCTTAATGTGTAGATGGTTTAAGCTAATTTAAAGGAAAGGAAATTTTTTTGCCTGCGACCAAATTTACAGAATTATGGGCCCCTTTTTTGATTTTTTCACTATATACTATGTAGAAATTTTTTTGTGTGTTTTGAACGGCAGGCTCCTCCCTTTAAACCGGGATGACAAGATTTTTTTGCTTTTAAACTTCCAGGGATGAACAAACCTTTTAATGCGTTGATTTATTGTAGATTGGGTACCCTAAAAGGAAAAAGGAATTTTTTTTTGTTTTTTTTTTGCAAACCCAAAAAAACAGAAATTTTTGGGCCCCTTTTTTTTTATTTTTTTTTACTTTTATAATAGGAAGGTGAAAGCAACTCCCCCTTTTTTAAAAAGGGGGTGGCAAATTTTTTTTCCTTTTTTTAAAATTCCCGGGAAAGAACAAAACCTTTTAATTTTTTTTGGTTTGAGAAGAAAAAAAAGGAATTTTTTTTTCGCCACCAAAATTTAAAAAGAATTAAAGGCCCTTTTTTTTTGAAAATTTTTTTTTCACTTTTATACCATTAATATGTTGTTTAGTGGGGGCCCCGTTTTTCCTCTGGACAACCCGTTTTAAATTTTTTTTGGTTTAATTTTTTTTGCACATTTTGTTTTTTCTTGGAATTTACCTTTTGGTTTTTTTTTATTAAAAAAAAACCTGTAACTTGTTATCTTTATTTTTGATTTGATGAGTTTAAGTTTTTGTGAAGCTATATTATAGAAGGCAGGCTAAAGGAATTATTACTTGACGGAGGGGAGTTTGGTAAGTGTGTTACTAGTAAGAAACAATTTTTGATACTGCAAATTCAAAAAGTAAGGCGACATAATATTTATTTCAAATTCAAAAACATAAAAGTTTTAACTGGTTTTATTGTAAGACAAGAGAAAGTTGTTTTATTTGATATCTGAAATGTTTTTTATAGAAAATTACAATGTTATTTAAGTGGGGGGAAAACATTTATTTGCAGCTGTTTGTTTGGAATACAATATTGAGTAATTATTTTTTCAAAAGTGAGCATATCTTTTTCATTGCAAATTGTTTTTAAGTTGAGAAGTTTTAGGTTTTTTTTTTTTAAAATGCTTTTTTTTTTAAGTTTGGAAAAATCTTAAGAAAATTCATTTTAATGGTATAAAAAAATGATTTTGAGCTCTTTTTTAAATATTTGGAGTTTTTGATTGGGATTTTTTTTTCTGTTTTATGAGTTTCATTTTGTTTTATTTTAATGTTTTTTTCTAAAAGTCCCTTTTTAAATTTTCTTGGGAAGGTTTTAAAACCTTTTTTAACTTCAAATTAAATGCTACCCAAGGGAAAAAAAAAAAAATTTATTTTTTAAAAAAAACATTGTACTGTTTGTGTTTAAAATGTTCCAAAGTACAAAAACTAGTAACTTTTTTAATTTTTTTGTTTTATTTTTTTAATTTTGTTTTAAATTTTTTTATATAAATTGCATGTTTTTTTATAAATTAAAAAGTCTTTTTTTTCAGGCTGCACTTTTTTCTATAAAAGGGAATTATTTTTAAATTTTAAGCAATATTTTTATGTTTTTAATATTTTTTAAGTTATTTTTTATATTTTTTTTTTTAAAACCCTTTTTTAAAAAAGTATCCCCTTTTCAAAAAAGGGGAAGTGGAAGTAAAATTGTTAAAAGTTTTTCAAGTGTATTGTAATGGATATTGAAATCTTTGTATTATGTATAATTTTCCCTGATTTACAGAAGGTTGATTTTATTAATAAACATTATTATGCCCCTACTTCGAAGAAGAGGGGGGGTGTTATATTTGCTTTTTGCACCCTTGTCGGTCCGACTTCGGGTCCGTAACCAAATGGTTTCGAAGTGATAACTAAAAATAAACCCTTAGGGGCCCTAGGAAATTTTTCAAACTTTGGGTATTTTTGGATGTTTATTGAAATTGATTTGGTTCATGACCAGTAGAATGACCCCTTATTTTGATTTTTGGGGTCAAGGGGGTTCAAAAAGTTTCAAAGGTCACATTGGACCTTGTTATGTTTTCAAACGGTTTTTTCGAAATAAATAATTTCAAGAACGTTTAGGCCTAGGATCTTCAAACTTGATATTTGGTGATTGGTCATGAAACCAGCAGATGACCTCTATAGATTTTTTGGGGGTTCAAGGGGTCAAAAAGGTCAAGGTTCACCATTGAACCTTGAAAAGGTTATTATAAATAAATAAAACTAAAAAAAAAAACGGTTTTTCCGATTCAATAACTAAAAAAAAGGCTTAAGGCCTAGCGGAACTTCAAACTTGGCTTATGATGATTTGGTCATGACCAGCAGATGACCCCCTATTGATTTAGGGGTCCAAGGGGTCAAAGGTCAAGGTCACATTGACCTTGTAGGTATATATAAAAAAAAACGGTTTCCGATCAATAACTAAAAAAAAGGCTTAGGGCCTAGGGAACTTCAAACTTTTGGTAAATGATTGATTTTGCGTCATGACCAGCAAATGACCCCTATTGATTTAGGGGTCAAAGGTCAAGGTCACAATTTGACCTTGTTAGGTAAATTAAAAACGGCTTTTCGATCCAATAACTAAAGAACCCTTAGGCCTAGGTACTTCAAATTTTGGTAAGATGATTGGTCATGACCAGCAGATTGACCCCTATTTGATATTGGGGGTCCCAATGGGGTCAAAGGTCAAAAAGGTTCACATTGACCTTGTAGGTAAAAACGGTTTTTCAAGATCAATAACTAAAGAAACGCCTTTATGGGCCTAGGGAATTTCAAAACTTGGTATGATGATTGGTCATGACCAGCATATGACCCCTATTGAATTTTTGGGGTCAAAGGTCAAAGGTCACATTGACCCTTTTAGGTAAAAACGGTTTCCGATCAATAACTAAAAAAAAGGCTTTAGGCCTAGGTACTTCAAACTTTGGTTATGATGATTGGTCATGACCAGCAGATGACCCCTATTGATTTTTTTGGGGTCAAAAGGGGTCAAAGGTCAAGGTCACAACATTTGGAAACCTTTTGTAGGTAAAAACGGTTTCGATTTAAATAACTTAAAAAAACCCCTTTGGGCCCAGGAATTTTCCCCAAAATTTTGGGTTTTTGAAAGATTTTGGGCATTTTACCAGTAAAATACCCCTTAAAAAAATTTTTGGGGTCAAAAGGGGCAAAGTCATTTTGGGTTTACCTTTTTTACTTAAAAGCCGTTTCTGACCAATAAATCAACCCAAATCAAGTTTGCCCTTTGGTTTTTATATTTTTTTTTGTGCTTTTTTTGGTTTTAAAACACATTTTGGAAGGTCTTTTTTTGTTTTTAACACTTGGCTTTTTTTTTTTAATGAGGGGGGTTTTGTTTATTCAAAAAAATTTTTTGTATATATTATTTTTTGGTTTTAAAAATTTTTTAAAAAACTTTAAATTTCTACACACAACCCCATGGGGTTTACCCAAAAATTATTAAACCCTTTTGAAAAAAATCAGGGCCCGTAGAAATACTTTGATAAAACCCTTTTTTTTAATTGCTTGTTTCACTGGGTTTAGGAAAATCAGCATTTTTAAAAAACCTGATCACATGACAAAATTTTGGGTCCGAAAAGGGGGGATAACCCTTTTTTTTTTAAAAAACTAAAATTTTTGTTTTATAATATTTCCTTAATTTTGTTTTTTTGGGTTCCCCTTTTATTTTGGGAAATAAGCTAAAATCTGGTTTCCCGTTTGGGGCCCCGGGTTTTTCCAAAAACCTTTTTAATCCGGAAAACCTTTTTTTATCGAAAAAGAAATGTCCGGTCCGGAAATTTTTTTTCAATTTTTTTTTTCAATTTTGTAAAAAAACCTTTTTGGAAACCAGAAAAACCCGTTTTTTACTCGGGAAAAATTCCCCGGGCGATTTTTTTTAATTTTTTTTTCTTTATTTTTTTTCTCTGGGAAAATTTTTAAATTCTTTGGGAAACCGAAACAAAAAGTTTACCCCCCTAGATTCAAAATAAAAAAAAAAAAATGGCAAAATCATGCAGGTGGGAAAAAAACCCCCCGTTTTTTAAATTTTGCTTTTATTTTAATTTTGGTTTAAAACCCCCTGGAGTTTTAGTGGGAAACATTTTCTGTGGTTTAAACGTTTTTTTGATCTACGAAGGGTTTTGGGAAAAAACTTAGCTTTCCCCTTTTATCTACTATAATTGCTTTTTAATTTTATTGTTTTTTTGTTTACCTTCAATAAAAATTTTTTTTTTTGATTTTAATGCAAAATTCCTTTTTTTTCTTTTTGTAAAAGGAATTAAAAGAAAATTTTTTGATTTAAAATTTAAAGAAAATTTTTTTGGACAAATGTCAGTTTAATTCGGGGGTTAAAACACTGAATGGTTTAAATTTTAAAAGGGAAACAAAAATTGACAAATGCTGGTACGGGGTTATTTTAAATTTTATTTTCTCAAACCCTTTTTGTTTTTAAAATTTGTTTTGATTAACTTTACCCTTTGAGAATATAAACATTTTTGCTATTTATTTATTTATTTATTTATTTTTGTATTCATAGTATTAAAATGAACGATAAAGATTGCAAAAATAAATAATTTTATTGCAATTTCAAATGCATTCCCGTTTTCTTTCCTTAAACTATTTTGCCAATAACATGAACAAACATGTAAAAAAACCTTCTAATTTCGGAAACCTTCCTAATCTGGAAACCCTTCTAATCCGAACTTTTCTTCTGGTCCGGACGATTTCGGATTATACAGGTTCCACTGTATATTGAATAAAATAACCAACTTGAAAATAATTGTATGATATTATAAAACTTGAAATTAAGATAATTATAATGTTCATTTTCAAATGTTTGTCTTTAATCTCCAACTAAAAAAAGTCAAAGAAAGTGAAACATTTTATGTTAATAAAGGACAGTGCAATTTTGTTGCATTTATTGCCAAACTTTGTTAGGAGTAGAGCACATGTGTATTGATATGTTAAATGATATGTTTATAGTGGTTAAGGTGTCTGCCTCTCAACCCAGGGATTGTAAGTTTGAGTCCTATTTGGGTGATGACCATGTTTCCTTATATGGTACCAGTACTGGTTACTTCCTGGAAGAGGACTCAAAAACAATCAATAGCAGAAGAAAAACTTATTTCAAAGTCAAGCGAAAATGAATATGTTTAAAATAAATAGTTATATACTATAATTATATTACATATAACGTTAGTAAGATGTATCTGTTGCAGGTATCGGGTACTATTGTTGACAAAAGTGGTAGGACATTGTCAGGACAAACAACAGAGGCATTTATTATCAGTGTGTCTCATGCAAAACCAATGTGGTATGTATTTCTGAATCTTTTGGTGGTGACAGATAAACTTAGATTCAGTAGACTAGTAAATAATGCAAATTTATCAATATTTTTTTTTTGTCTTTTAGCTTAGCTCAATAGGGAGACCATTGGATTAGTTATCCAAAGGTTGCTGGTTCGATCCTCGTGTGGAGTGAAATTTCTCCATGACAAGTGATGTAGGAAATTGAGTATAATAGTCACTTGTTTTTTCGCTGTTGATTCAGAAATCATGTGGAATTAGTAGTCTGTCACTTGCAGAGAAATTGGTATTTACAAGTTAGCTATCCAGGAAAAGCTGGTTAGGTGGATGGACTGCCATGATATGATTATTTGGGAGTTTGAGAGTTCTACCTTGATGCCTGTAGTACTTGACAGAATGGAATCTGAGATTTTTTCTACCAGTAAAGCTTGCAAATGTAACCTTGACAGTGCTAATTAATTGAAAGTAAACTCGAAAACAAAAATATTGTTGTATATTACAGCTTAGGTTTAAACTGTGCTCTGGGTGCATCAGAAATGAGACCATTCTTGCAGGCAGTCAGTGACAACACAACTGCATATACTATATGCTATCCGAATGCAGGTATAACTTACTTAATTAAACAACACAATATGTGTAACACCATAATGGTTGAAATAATGATGGATTAATGGTTGAAATTTTTTTTCTGAGGCAAAACTTCAGTGATACATATTCTGAAGGCCAGATATAAATATAGTATGATATTTACTAAGGAGACTGTTAATTTTATTTTGAATACAAGCAAAACTATGATTTAATGTAGAACATAAAATTTGTAAGTTACAGCTATATCACAAAAAAGTGATTAAAATAATAATAACAAAGAATTTTTCCAGCAGTGTCAAAACAAGATAAGGTTGTGTTATTTCTGAAATAAATTCAACAAATACATATTCAGTACATGTATGTGCTTACTTAAGAATGTAAGTTTTTTTTGCTCATCTTTGACAATTTCTATCTTTAAGCAACATTTTTGTATACATTGTACTTACAGAATGTAGAATTCTACCAAAAAGACTTCTTGAGTTAGATTTTCAATAAAAACTAAAATGAAGATATTGAAAGAAACAAAGTACAGTTTTCAAAGAGATTAAACGTTATGATTTCATTATAATATATACATATGCTCCATTTCTAGGGTTACCAAACACATTTGGTGAGTATGATGAAACTCCAGAGATGATGGCTGCACAGTTAAAGGTAATTGATATGTAAATGAAATCATTCAAACTACTTTTATAGGTATAGGGATATTTCCTGCATATCAGACAGGATTATTTCCCGTTAACACCGATGCTAGAAAAACCTGTCTTACACCCCCCCCCCCCCCCCCATGTAAGACAAGTCACATACTTTAAATGATGTCATTGCCGCGTGCCTGTTATGACTGCATTGGGGAATACCTAGCTCTTGGGTAACTGTTTAGGTGAAACTTGGCAGAACCTCATTACTTTCATAAACGGTAACCCTTGTGCTAGATATTTAGGTCTGTACCAGCAGCCAGTGTAAGATTCTTATAATATGTATGCATGTATCAGTATATGTTTTCATGAAATACGATCTGTTTTTCATGAAATCGAAAGAAAAAAAGATTTTAATAATAAAAATAAAGACTTGGTCAGATTGAATGAATTTTGTTAAAAAAGGTGTAACACAAATATCAGTTTATAAAGAGCATTTATTGCAACCAAAATTGTTTGTACCCTGTAGATTAAAGATCTTATACATTTTCTCCAGTTTGTTCTTCTGTTATAAGGTTTTCTCACACCATTTAAATATGTCCTTAGGTTTTAAGGTGATATTGGGTCGTGGTCAGGGAGTTGAAAAATTGATGTCACATTTTCATTTTTAGTTTAAGTTTGGCGAATATTTTTTTTTTAAAGTTAAGATCAAGAAATAAAAGGGATCTTATATCAGTGTCACAGATATTGTCTGGAATCGTTTAATTAACCATTTACACAATTTCAGAGTTTTGCCCAGGCTGGATTATTGAACATTGTAGGAGGATGTTGTGGAACAACACCAGAACATATAGGGCAAGTTGTTATATTGATCTGTTTCTCTTATGTATAACAAATTTTAAGTTCACACGATTCTCAAGAGTACAAGGAACTGCAGCGACAGAGTGGTTAGGGTGGCTGACTTCCAGTCACTTCCCTATCATCTCTGTGTTCAAGTCATTTCAATGATTTCAGTAATGTTACATCATTTCATTTTGATGAAGATATCAAAAGTGAGATATTTATAATCAATTGTAATATTGGCTTATTGATAATGGCTTAATAAGAAAAGTTTTGTTACAATTAATATAGAAAATTGCATTAATATTAATGATCTGTAGATGAAAGAACAAGTATATTTCCTGAAGTGCTTGTAAGGTCAGTAACTATTTACTATCATTTCATAGTAAAAGAAGAAAAAAATATTTACTTTTTTAGAGCTATCAAGGAAGCTGTGCAGCAGTATGAACCAAGGATACCACCTAGCTCTATAAATGAAGGTTACATGCTACTATCTGGATTAGAAGCCACTAAAATAGGACCATACACAAACTTTGTCAATATCGGTGAGAGGTGTAATGTGGCAGGTTCCCGAAAATTTGCGAGGTTGATCACGAGTGGAAACTACGATGTAAGATTAATGTTGTAATGCTAACCATTTGAAATCTTGCCATCGTAAACAATTGCCTAATCAACAATTTTCTCACTAACCAGATAGAAAAATTTGTAAATGTTACTAAAAATAGCGGTGTTGGAAAATCTTATCTCACAATGGGCTTATCTCACACTCAACGTGCAGCATTTCTAAAAACGTATTCCTACACATACGCGATTCACTCCTATTTTAACAAAAATGAAACGTCAAAAGGTCAAAATGTATTAAAAATATGTGAGCTAATCAAAACTAGGTACGTTGTAATGTGCGTAGCAAGTAGTTTCACTGATATTTATTGTGTCCAGGTGAGTGAGAAAAATAATCAATCATTGGGTTAGATAGAGGATAGGGAAATCCCAACCCGAGGGTGATCGGTTCCATCGGAAACGAGCCTCACCAAGACTCGTTCCCGATGGAACCGATCACCTTCGGTTGGGATTTCCCTATCCTCTATTTAACCCAATGATAGATTGTATTAATGTCACATCTGTAAATGCTCTGACCATGCCCTATAATGTTCGCTTCATTCCAGCATTTTAATATGAAATTATGCCACATTAAGTAATGGGCAGTTCGAAAAGTTAAAGCAGAACAATCTTCGCGTTTTTTCATTAATATTGCTATCCTTTAGATTTAGTGGTTTACATGTAGAGAATGTTCCATTTTCAGGAAGCTTTAACCATAGCTAAAACACAAGTAGAAAACGGTGCACAGATTATTGATATTAATATGGATGAAGGAATGTTAGATGGTGTCGCTGCTATGACAAAATTTGTGAATCTCATCGCGTCAGAACCGGACATTGCAAAGGTTCCACTGTGTATCGACTCGTCAAACTTTGCTGTGATTGAGGCAGGTTTGAAATGCTGTCAGGGAAAGTGTATAGTTAATAGTATAAGTTTGAAGGAGGGAGAGGCAGACTTTGTAGAGAAAGCGTTGAAGATAAAACAGTATGGTGGTGCTGTGGTTGTCATGGCATTTGACGAGACTGGACAGGTATGTCTTAATTTAATTATTTTGATTCAATGATTTGATTTTGGTTCTATTTTGTTCTTGGATCAATTGGATATAATAGAGAGGGGGGGTTAAATCATCAGACTGTTTGAACTAATGATTATACAGTCATGATTATGTTCTGACATTGTCCTTTGAGCTGTGCAACATTTTGCTATGCTCTTGATGTGTTTGGTTTGTATGGACCTTCACTGTATTAAAATTTTGTAAGTTTACAATGGGGACAGGTCCTAATTCAAAGCAGTGCAAATCCATTTCTCATATTTAATTTTGAATAGATTAAATCCAAAGCAATTACCTTTTATGAAATTTACAAACACTGTAAAAAGACTTTATTTCTATCTAATTTACCCTTTTTTCAAATGAAAAATGCATGTTCTTAACCCTTATCACTCTAAATATCTTAAATGCATTCGTGCATATTTCAATCTGGATAAAACCATCATTTTTAGGAAAACTTTAGAATAAGAACTGACTGAATAGCTAACTGAGTTATTATCAGATGACATGGAAATGCTAGCTGATCTTGGTCAGGTCTGCACTGGCCGCATTGGTAGAATTTGTTGCCGCCAGCATGTTAAAAGTTTAGTATTATGAAAACTACAAAAATGAATAAAGTTGTGTGGTGCCCTAATGGTTAAGGTATCTGCTTCTCAATCCAGAGACCTAAATTGGTCACAATCATGTTTTCTCGCCAGTACTGATTATTTTCAGGAAGGTGGACACTAGAATAAAAATGAATGAAGTTGTGTGGTGCCCTAATAGGTAAGGTATCTGCTTCTCAATCCAGAGATCATAGATTAAAGCCCTAAATAGGTCAAAACCATGTTTTCTCGCCAGTACTGATTATTTTCAGGAAGGCGGACAGAAGAATGGTTAATATAAGGGGGAAGTTTTCTTCTCAGGTGATCAGAAGTAGATACTATTAAAACTAAAACCACATACTCTTTTACAATATTTAAATCAATGTTGTTTAACCTTCTTTTGTACTTTGATATTGGCAGGCAACAGAATCAGCAAGGAAAGTTGAAATATGTACCAGGTCATACAATATTCTTGTCAACAAAGTCGGTTTTAACCAGAATGAGATTATATTTGACCCAAACATCCTCACCATAGCAACAGGTATGGAAGAACATGACAGATACGGTGTAGAATTTATAGAGGCAACAACAAAGATCAAGGTAGGATTTGATTTTGTCTTCTGCATCATTTTCATGATCTGCAAAGTTTAGGAAAGGGTTTGAAGATTGAAATAAAACTTACCTTAACTTGCTTTCCAAGTCTATAAAGTTTCTGTATAGACTAACTCCTGAATAAAGAATACTTGGGTTTTTCCCAGCTATATTGGTCAAAGTTTGTTTGTACCTACGGATTTGCTAGGGAAATCCACATTTGCCAAGTTCCGGATAACGTCTTTTGCAAACATTGCAAACCATATTCAAACAGCATTTATGGTGACATGGGTAGATCAGGTCTTCCCAAGAAGGCTGAGGAATATGTTTAGTTTATACAAATGTATTTTTGTTTGATTGTGTTGGAATCTATAAGCTCATTGAAACACTCTGGAATCCATTCATGGAACTAACCAGTACTTAAAGTGTGAAGTTTCTTGATCAAGGAAACAACGATGTGGTTTGAACCCACATGGTCTGCAATCTTTAGATAACTAGTCTGATGCATAGCCCACTCTGCCACGCCACCACATAGGATTTATGTTTATGTTATGACAGATACATAAATGTCATTTTATAAATTTTAGTATATTTGTTTGACATGTAATTAAATATTGTTCATGTATGTTTGTAGGAGACTTTACCTGGTGCTAGAGTGAGCGGTGGACTGTCAAATTTCTCTTTCTCCTTCAGAGGTATGGAGGCAGTGAGAGAGGCCATGCATAGTGTGTTTCTGTACCATGCCATAAAGGTAAGATGAGTTATTCATCCTTCCACTCAGAGAATGGTTGACAGTATAGTGGACAACTTGCCACTCACAGCTATGGGTTCAAATCCCCATGTGGGGAAGCTACGGAATGTCAGTGGTTCGACTCGGGTGCACGTTCATGCCTGAAATAACACATGGAAGTGCACCTGATGTCTTTCTCCACCAGTAAAGCTGGAAAATTGTCGTATGACCTATACTGTGCTGGTGCTACGTAAAACCCATAAAAAAAGGTATTATGGTAGAGGAATATAGTTTTAAGATTTCTTTGTCAGGAACTACAACTCCAAGTTAAATATTTTGATGAATATTCTTGAACATGTTTTCAACAGTAGTAAAAGGAAATGTGATTTGTATAGTACCATTGTATTCCATTAGTTTTTCAAACATGATTTTCTGTTTTATGACTTTAAATGAAACAAAAACAAACAAACAAAAATATAAAAACAACAAAAAAAAAATTAATTTGCATTAAGAAACTAAAATCAAATGGTGAATATGAATATTTGTTAAAAACGGATGCTTTTTTTGTTACAGTCAACTATCGTTATCTCGACATCGCTTTTCTCGATATTTCGTTATCTCGATGAAATTTTGAAAGTCCCGATTTTCTTCCTTCTTTATCTATATTGGAAATATTTGTTTATCTCGATATTTTTATTTCGATATTTTCAGTATCTTGATGTAAAATTTCAGCCCCAACAGTTATTTTCAAACTATTATCCTTTGTTTATCTCGACTAATAGTTTTCTTTCATCTGTTCCCTTCAGACGTGTGGAAAATAAATATTAGACGATAATTGCTCAATAGCGCATGTCATAATGATGATTATGTTTGTAACAAGTTTAGCTGCTATAATAAAAGTTAATAATTAGCATGTTGATTGACTTATGTTCAAAATGAGTGAATTTTACGTTCTTTATAAATATTCGCAAAAAAAAGTATCAATTCTTTATGACTTTAAATGAAATAGTGAAAGTATAGAAACGATATCGTTGCAATATTGTTTTACAACATCACCTCCAAATTAATCAGCAGTCGAACAATCTCGATAAAGACCCAATAAATAATACGGGAGAAATATCCGGATCAACCACCCAATCACTATATTGATGTATTACTGAGTAAACCTCACTATGTGTTTTTATCACAGACACCCGTATTTCCGCCTGTAAACATCCGCTAATATTACTTTGTTAAATATTGACTAGGCGTATGAAAACAAGACATGGGGATATCATACTTTATTTGACATAAGGTATGCACATGTCTTTTGTAAAAATCAGTTTCTGCATTATTCAAACCCTAATATGTTTATCTCGACATTTCGATATCTCGATAATTTTTGGACGGTCCCGATGACTTCGATATAACGAGAGTCGACTGTAATTCATAATTGTCTTGCTATAATCCTTCTCATTGTGAAATCACTTACTATAATGGATACTGAATACATTACAGCTATGGCAAAGGAATTACTTGCCCATTGATAAACTTATGTTATGTGAAAAGCTGCATTGTTTATTTTCTGATAGAAAATAAGTGTATAATTCATTGCATTTATTATTACAGGCAGGTATGGATATGGGTATTGTGAATGCTGGATGTTTGCCAGTATATGATGATATTGAGCCTAAATTGCTAGAAATGTGTGAGAATTTACTGTGGGCTAAAGATCCAAATGGTACAGACAAACTGCTATTATATGCACAGGTAAAATTGCACAGTTAGATTAGAAATGGTGATCACCCATGTATCAATAATTTATCATGGTCTATTGTTTTCTACCAACTCAAACTCTTATTAAGTATAATATTTGTTAATATTATGAACACTGCAGACACATGTAATTGGACTTATGATTTAAAAGAAAGAAAAAAATTTAATAATGTACTTTGTAAATATGAGGTTTTGGTTATGAATAAACTTAGACTTTTTGTAGTATTGTTTGCTTGATAACTTTGATAAAAGTTGTTAATATAAACAGTACCTACTTACTTACATACATTTGTCACATGTAAAACAATCTTTGAATATGATAAATAATGTAATTCAAGAAAATGTTAAATAATCATTGAACAATGTAATTTTCAAGAAAATACCACTTATTGCTGTGTCATGCTCAAATTTTGATTATAGAGTCTTTATTAACACATCTTTTATATTTCAGTCAATGGGAAAAGATGCAAAGAAAGCTGCAGTAAGTGATGAGTGGAGAAACAAAGATGTTGAAGAAAGGCTGTCATACTCTCTGATAAAGGTAATACTATACAGAGATAGTTTTGCTTATTTCTTGGGTTACATTATCTATCTTACCTGAGAAAATAAATGATATGATGTCTTCATAAAGATTTTGATGTTACATATCACACTTAAAGGCCCAACTGGGCTATAAAAGCCAGCAGATGGCGCTAGGGCAGGTGTCTTATTAATTTTATGCATGCTTCACTTCAGGGACCCTTTTTCAAAGATTTAAGATTAATTACCAAATGCATTAAAACAACACTTGGCATGTTTGTAGGCATAGATATTTTTGATAAAGATTGACCAAAATTATTCAAAATATAACTTTGTAAAGTGTATTTCTGGAAAAAAATACTGGCTGTCAAATTTGAAATTTGAATTTCCCTGGGAGGAGCCATGTGATCATTACAGTTCATGAACCTTCAGTAGTAAACAAAAGCACGTGGCAGTGTTGAGATTTGTAGCAGACGATGTATATTTCAGGGAGGGAGGTTTTCAGCAGACGACACATTGGAATGCTGAATAAAACAATAACTTTTACTGACTTGCTTTATCAAATCCAACAAATTTACAATTATCCATTAAGCTATAATTTTTTTTTAATTTCAAAGTACTGATTCAACTTGTATTTGAATGGTTTAAACTTCATGAAAACAGTAAAAGTAACTTCCAGGTATATTTCATTTACACTATATTTTGTTGTAAATATTTTGTAGTCAAAAATTACATTTCACAAATGTTAATCAAACTAAATGTTGCATATGCATAAAATTTTTATACATTAACAGTTTAAAAATATTTTAAATTCCTTTCAAGAACATTTTTAGCAGTTTGTTCCTAAAAGAAATGCCCCATTTAAGGCACATCTTTTGGATTTTGATATAATTGTCTGACTTGATGAAGGACACATACAGCATTCCAGTAAAAAAAAGAAAAACAACTGACTTTAAAATAATATCTGGACTTGACTTGATAATGTCTTTAATTAATTAAATCTTTGAGTTTATATAAAACATCCGTTAAACCTCTCCTGTGTAAAATCAGCTGTTTTTGTTTACATTCTCTCTGCAGGTTAACACTGCATGCTATTTATAGTTCAGGGTTTATAACAGACAGTTTTACATCACTGATTAGTCACACCCACAAATACTCGCTGCCGTGGCAGCGAATGTTGCCCCTTTAAATGTTTGTGCTGTTTGACCAGTTGCTTAAGTTGAACTTTTAAATAATGAAACCGCTTGGAAAAGCAATGAAATTTCCAACCTCAAAGCAGAGCAAGTCCATTTTAATGTGTTGTTACAGTTTCTAAATTCATTATTCTAGTTTGTTCTTCATTTTTTGTATGTTTTTTTAATAACTTACCAACAGTTCAGTTCAGTTCAGCTTTTTGGCAATCAGCAATAATTTTGCCTTTGGCCATTTACAATATTTTCAACTTCTGTCAAAGACACTCAACACAATGTAAACTCAAAAGTGTGTCTATAAGCTTAAGCTTCCTGCTCAATTGAACTAAAGTAAATTCTGTATAGAAAACATATTGACAAAAAACAACAACAACAACAAAAAACATATATTAAATCAGGAACCAAATAATATACATAGCAATACAAACTCTGGATGAAACAATAATAATTTAAAAGTACATTAAAAGTTAAGAAAGGATTAAAGTTTATGTGGAACATATATATAATCAAATGAAAAAACAATTTCAGGGTATAGACAAGTTTGTTGTAGAAGACACTGAAGAGGCCCGACAAAATTCACAGAGATATCCACGACCATTGAATGTCATAGAGGGACCTTTGATGAAGGTATTTTTGTATATTAATCTTTAAACAAACTTTATACCTGTAATCCAATGAAAAGGCACTTAAAATCATGATCAAGACAGTGACTTATGCCCATATGCATATTGCATACATATTGTTTTGACATTCACTAGCTTCCCAAGCAAATTTTAAAGGAGCTTTACTGAGTTCAAAACCTAAAACAAAAAGTTTGAAATTATTATTTCATAAATCAATTGATAAAATGGATAATTCTGTAAAAGATGATAAAGAAATATGCTCAGAGTTAAGTGAAAAAAAAAATTGTGCACAATTTTTATCCATTTTTCGTTGAAAAGCATTGCACAAATTTCTTTTTTTTGACATTTTGCCAATAAAAATACTTTTTCTGGGAAAATGGAGTGAGGGAATGAACTTAAACTTTGCACTTTAGACAAATTGAATGGTATGGTATGCAAGTCTTGATTAAAAATGCCAAGTCCATTCAAGTTAAAAAAAACATCAGTGGAGTCCCTTTACAATTATCTTTAAAAAAAATATTTTATACATGTATTGACAATTAAAATACCTATCATAAAATACGTACATATTCATATTTAAACTGATAAAAAAACAAATATCTAAACATATTTTTCAAGGGTATGAGTATAGTTGGAGATCTGTTTGGTGCTGGGAAAATGTTTTTGCCACAAGTGATTTAAGTCAATAAGCTAGATCTAAAAGAAACCCGGGCCGGGTTCTGTTTCCCCCATTTTAGGGAAAAGAGAAACGGACGGGGCTCGTTTTAAAAGAAAACGGGAAAAAACCCTGATTGGGTAAAATTTGTTTTAAAGTTTTTTTTACAAAAAGGTTAAAAATTTAAAATTTTTGGGGGGTTTAATAAAAAACCCAAAATTTTTTAAAATTTGGGAGAAAAAAAGGGTGGTTTACAGTTGAGATTTCATTTTAAAAATTTTAAAAAGGTTTAAAATTTTCGGAAAATTTGGTTAAAGTTTTAAAAAAAAAACAAACAAAAGTGAAAAAAAAATTTTCACTTCATTTTTTTGAGAATTTTTTAAAAAAAACACCCAAAAAGAAATTTGGAAAGAATAAAAGTTTTTTAATCAAATTAATTTGAAAATGAAAATCTCAGATTTTGGGAATTTTTATGATTTTTAATTGAAAAATGAAGGTTATTTGAATTGGTCAATAGCTAACTTATGAACTTAAAAACACATACTGGATATTTGGCATAAAGAAATGTTAACTTCGGTACAGATTCCACCAACACCAAGTGAGTCATTGACTGTACTAAAAAATCAATGTATGAATGTTTAAAGAAATGTGTTATTCAATATGCAATACTTGAAAGAAAAACAAGATTAGATCTGCCAACATTGCTGATTTTGTTTCCTAGGAATCAGCATTTGTTGGTACAGTTGTAATTGCGACAGTGAAAGGGGATGTTCATGATATTGGCAAAAATATCGTAGCTGTTGTACTTGGTTGTAATAACTTCAAGTAAGTTTAACTTTGTATGATTTATTTTTCATTTTGTGTGGAAGAGTTTTATGTGGTAAATTTTGATAATGTAAATCTAGGCTATAGGTGCTATTCAAATATACTTTTACTCTACTAGGGTGTTTACAGACCTTCACCTGCTCTTACTTTTTCCTACTTAATTGATTAAAGCCATTTGAATGCCTGTTTTTAATGACTAGTTTCATAAATTGCTTCATTTTGATGTGGTTGACCTTAGTTGAAATTATTAGGAAGAGTCCCACAAAAATGAACACAAAATCTACTGTACAGTCACAACTTCATGTAAAGGTGTCTTCTTTTTCTATAGTGAAGCGAAATGATGTTTAAATGTTAAGTAAATTTGAATGCTTAATTTATTCCAGAATATATCAAACTTCTTTATCTTCATGCTTAATAATCTTACTTATGTTTTTTTAACGATGAAACATCATTGAATTTCCAGCATAATGGAAAATTAAGGTGGTAATTTATATCTGTATTTCATATTGTATTATTCCAATTGTTGTCTAGCTGAAAAGTGCACTCTTTAATTTCAGAGTGATAGATTTAGGTGTGATGACACCATGTGATAAGATTATACAGACAGCCATTGAACATAATGCAGGTAAATCATAAAAAGGCTTTGATTAACAAAGACTAGATGCTTGTTGGTGTTAGGTATTAGGCCTCCTGGCAGAGACCCTTTAGTTCTACCTATATTGAAAGTTAACAAATAGTCAACTATTGTTTGCATGACATAGCCCATGGAAAATTAATAAACTATGTGTAGTTGTTGTCCTTTGGTTTTCATTGAAAAGACACTATTAATGTATTTTCTTCATGATATACAGAAATAAACTGACAATGTTGAATTGTTTGTAATGATGCAGTCTGAAAAGTAAAATATACATGGATTTTTGTTCTAAAAATGAAAAGGTTTTACTAACCAGAAACGGAGGTATACTAAGTGAAGAAGTTTTTGTAAACATTAGATCAGTAAATGTGTCAGTTCACGACATTTACAGCTACAGTTAACTCTGCTTATAACAATATCAGGGGACTGCCGAATTTATATTGGTAAATCCCGATATCATAAATCTGAGTGGCAACCAATATGAAATCAAGAGTCGGAACCTCGGAAACAATGCTTTTATAAGTGGTTTATCTTTATTAGCAATATCATTATAAGTGAAATTTACTGTACATTGTATACATCTTTCCTCATAATTGAATTTTTAATTTAGTTGATTATTTATCTAAATATTTATCAAATATAATCTGTTTCAGATATTATTGGTTTGTCTGGGTTGATCACTCCATCATTAGATGAGATGATTTACGTTGCCAAGGAGATGGAGAGAATAGGACTCAAAGTGCCCCTTCTTATTGGAGGTGCAACAACATCCAAGTATGTACAATAGTTTACTGTTTTTGCATTGTTAAAAAAATGATACCATGTTTATGAGATAAATAACTAGTTAAACAAGAGCCACCGCCGGGCGGGGGCAACGCTCGACTTTTTACTTTTTCTAAACGAAAACATAGAAAGGTTTGAACATATATTGACGTTTCCTTTTTATAAATTTAGTTGGTCTGTCTTGTCACATTAGTTTTGTTTATATATTTTGTATATATAGGAATAGAAACATTAAGCATATTTCTAAAAATAGCAACAGTACGCAATTTCTTAAAATAGCAAC